CCAGGCAATGACTCTCTCATCTGGAAAGACAAAAATCTATATGAGACTATGGAAAGCGTGGAATTCATTGCTCTCTGCAGTTATACCAACAACGAACAAGTTATTTTTTTTAATCAAGAGTATAATCACATTCTGCCTGCAAGGACTCCTTGCATTTAAAAATATTGTTTAAAGCAGTCTGTTTTATTTGATTGAAGACACTGGCCTAGTTATCCTAATTTTCATAGGATGAGACACTAATGAAACTGAAGTTATGATTAAATCCCCTTTAACCATATTTGCAACAATTGGGACTTGGTTACATGAGGATTTAGTCTTTAAAATGGTACCTCCTTATGTGTAGAGGACGAGAAGGTCTTTGAGACCATATCTGTACTTGTAATTCTCTGCTTGGACATCATAGAATAATCTCAGAATCAGTACTGAGCTGAATAGCTTTAATCCTAATGTTTCCTCCAGTGAAAAATGGAAGGTGGAACAAACCCACTCTCCCCATCCTGCCTGTCAGTGGCATTCATCTTAGTGGTAAGGAAGGTACTTACAGAAGGTTTGTTTTAATTGCATTGATGAGGGGAAACAAACAAAATGAATCTAGCACTTGTGTATAAGTAGGGCCAAGTGGTGTTGCCCAGTTCCACCGACAGCTTCTTCCAGGGCAGTGGAGTCCAGCGTGAGCCTTATCTTCTGCTTGGAAGCAGAACTGCAGGCCTCAGCTGAAGAATCACTCTTTCTTCTTTGGTTTGTTTTTCCCCTGGTTGTGGAGAGGCATTTACTTTGCATTTGACTCAGACCACAAGAAGCTTTATTTTCACTTGTGACAGCTGTTCAGCGAGAGTGAAGCAGCCAGTTCCTCCTTTATGCTTGCGACCCAGAACAGATACAGTCTCTGCTGGTGTCTCTGCCGGTGCCCTGAAGAGCTCTATTTCACAGGAGTCAGTAGAACAGGTACCTCGTGCAGCCCTTGGCCTGTCTGCTGATGTGCCCTTTGAAGATCAGTTTAATGCTACGTTTTTTTGTGTGAGGAAAGGAGGAGTGTTTACAAGAATTGAAATCACCACTTCATTTTACTTGAGCTGGATCTGAATATATAAAGCAGGGGGTTGTTCAAAGGTCTTCTCCCACTCTTCTAGCATGCACCTTCACCTCCCATGCCTAGGATCCCATCTCTCTGCTTCTGGACACCCGCTCCCTTTTCCCACATGCTGCATCCATAAACTGAGATCTGCCACCTTTCTCTCATCTGTGTCAGCCCTGGTTTTTTCCTCTCCTAGTCCCTGTGCTCCCTGTGTCACCTGTGTCCTGAGCAGAAACCATCACACCAGCAGTGACTAGAGCGAGAGCTGTGCCCTAAGCAGGCTGGAGAGATGGGAACTGCTGCCTTTCAGCTGATGGCACATCACTGGCTCTGTGAAAGCATCCACCCCACAGCACGGATAAGCACCTTCATGTCACAGCTGGGAGCTGGTGCTCCATGCCACCCTCATGTGGTTCAGGTTGGACGGTTTGGGGACCTCTGAGCAGAGACCAAAGTCCCTTATGAGCCTGCTTTCTTCTTGGGCCAGGGTTGGTCTGATACTCCCATCTGCAAGTATGAAAATACCAGGGTTTGGAAGAACAAGGCAATGTGTTGAAAAATGTCGCTCTCTCGTTGAACAGTGTTATTTATCCACTTCCTTTGTCCAGTTCATTAATGACTGGATTAGTAGTAGTGATTGAAATAACAAAAAAGATAAGTCCAAGGTATTTTTAAGGCCATGTTTGAATATAAATGTGTTTTCTTAACATATCCTCTTTCCTTCCTCTGAGACATTTACTATCTTCTTGTTTTTAGAGCAGGGAGAAGGAATGAAGCATGTGCTGTCACTGCCCTTGAACTTCTTTGCAAAGCTGTCGCTGCTTCCCCCTCGGTTTACTTTGCTTCTTGTTGGTTTGCCTCTCTGTCTGCCTAATACATCAGCTTGCAGGAGGATTCCTTAAAAAATGGAAACCTTTTCTGTGAGGCATTCCTTTCCACCCTGTAAAAAGTCTTCGTTGTGAATTTGCTCCAGGCTTACTAACCACTTTGCACCAGAGTCATAAATTTGAATAACTTCACAGAAGAGGATTTGCCTGAAAGTGAGTCACACAAACAGCCCTCTTCAGACAGGGGCTGACACAGTATGGTACAGTAGGCTTTCTTCTGTATAATAAAATAAAATAAATGACAGCAATTAGCTTGCTTGTTCTGCCACAAGCCCTACACCTCTAGCACTTCTGTTCACTTTGGGACAGGTTTTAGGCCTGGAAGGAATGCAGAATTAGGAATTGCTATGGAGTGATATCTCCGTAATATCAGCAGGCTCCAGACGTTTAACCACTTAAATGCCTGGCTCAGGATTGTAACAGCAAGATGTTACTCCTTCTGTTAGCTAATAGCAGACACACATAATTTGAGGGAAGTTTGGATGTGAATTTTGCTGGAATGTCTGGGCTTTTTGTCTGTAGTCAGAGGTCCCCAAGCAGCGATGGGTGAATTGCTTCTCGGTGGTGTGGAGCGGTGGCTTCCAGCTGCATACAGGGGTGCAGTTACACCAGCTGCGAGGGGAACACCTCCACGCCCGCCAGAACTCACACTTAGCTGCCTCACTTGAATGTTGTGATTCCTACCCACTTCTAGCAGGTGGGAAAGAAGGACAATGTTGACTACAGGGGGAACTTGCACCTTATTCCACATGGCAAAGAGAGGACTGCAAAATTTTAAGGCTGCTTCGCTGTCTTTTATTCTCCCTTAGCCTGTTTGTACAGTAATGGCATTTTACTTTTGTGGTGTTACCACAAAAACAAAAGTTTGTAGAATTTAATGAATGTAATTAAGTAACTTGGTTTAAGTCATTTTAAGGGAATGGAATACAGACATCCCACCACCCTGCTTTAACACTTGAACCTGTTCTCTCCTCCAGCTGGCAAATTAAATCCAAAACGTAGATGAAGAGAAATTATTATTGTTAGCACATCCACCGTCCCAACAGAGATGAGTTAGACTAATTAAGAGAATAGCATTCCTAATACTGAAATTTCCAGTTAGGTGCTCCTGCGGTGAGTTATTCAGGTAGAAGTTTGATGCCTATCAAGATATTAATATCTTTGTTTTGAGGAAAGAAATGCAGCCGTCCTTGCTGGATGGTACAACTGTAGCCTGTTTTCAGACTAGAACAGAAGTTGTTCTGGAGAAGCGAGTATGGTGCATGTCGCAGTGAGTTGGGAAGTAATTGACACCAGTACAGAGTCCAGACTGCTGTCAAACTATTGTCAAACTATTGGCTTGAACCAGGTGCTTCACTCATTTCTTTTGTACATCTTAAACACTTAAAGACCTAATCCAAATCCAGTTGATGTTAATTGAACATGGTATTATTTGGTGGGGAAGGTTTGAGGTCTTCAGCTGAGTCCTGTGGCGCACTACAGTCATTCCAGTCACTCCAGCCTGTTGCTCTCCTCTGCCTAATGCAGTCTAATACCGTGTCCTTCTCATTGCTTGCAAGCTACCAGCAGTCATACAAATAATGATTATTACTGCATGCCAGCACTTTTGGTCTTACCCTTTACTGGATATTTTTCCAAAACAAAAGCTTTAGTGAATGAAGAAATTATGTTTCTGCTCTGCATAGTTGAGGAAATAAAGTAACAAACCCCACAATGTTGCAAATGTAAAAGCAATGAAGGGTTTTCAACCTGAATCTTCCAGAAGCTCCGCTGGGCCATGAGATGACTTTGTCATCTCAGTACAGCATTGCTTCCAAAACCTAGTACTTATAATTTAAGTTTCAACATTAGTTGTTGCATTACTGATCATTTTGACAGAAACATAAGGCTGCTCTGAAGTTTGTACCGCAGAGTAGGTGTCTGGTCTAACTTTAATTGACTAGGTTGACAAGGGTTTCATGACTGTCCTGGGGAAGCCATTTAGTTTGTTGCCTGATAGATGACAGGAAGTTCCCTGACTTTAAATCTAACTTTCTCTCATTCCGCTTCAGGCCAACACTCATAACTTTTTGACACTATGGACTGTCTGCCTCAAACAGTTCGATTTTCAACTTGCACATGATCATTTATACCCACATAACAATTGGGATTTTGTTTCTGAATTTCTTTGGTTTGTCTGCCTTGCTCTGTTCTCAAAGTGTCATTTGAAGTACAAACAAGGCACCTAGCTATCTGTTCATCTTACCCAGAACTTGTGGTAAGCAAAGATGAAGGTCTCGGGCACCTACCTGCCTCCGTATGTGTATGTGTGTATGTATGGGTCTCCGGTTTCAATACGAGAAAGCTCAGGTGCAATGGCAGTTCAGCAAGCTGGATCATGTGGCATTATTGGAAACACTTCTTTATGTTGCCATTGCTGATTGCAGCAAACTGTATTTTCCTTCGGGGTTATATAAAGTTCGTATGATTTCAGAGGCACCAGAATGGTATTTACAGCTAAGGGGGTCCCTTTGCAAATCTTAGAAAATGTGTGGGTTGCCTGATGGCATGAAGCAGCATTCTGATTTTTAGATCAGGGTATTGTGGCACCGCATTCTGCTCCTTTGGCATCCCTTTTTGTTATGTCATTATACACTGTCACTCTGCTGGCCTGCTTCCCTCTCCTCTGTGCCCATAGAAAGCTGGGTTGCTTGGGGATGGTAGGTCTAAAGAGGAAAAGGCAAGTGTCCCCCACACATGATGTACCTCCAGATATTTAGAAAATGTATCGGTCTCTCCAAGAAGGTAGGTACTACTTTGGAACATATCCATAATTCTTTGCCCTTTGTCTAGGTATCAGAGGGTGAGATGGAGAACTCACACTGCAGTTGTATAAATAAATCAGAAAGGTAGGGAATTCGTGCGATATTGCTGTCTATTACGTACCAATTGTGATTACCTAGCATAGGGAATGATCTGAGATGACTGATTAGAGTTTCCATGCTGAACCCTTCCCTGTGGCTCAGTCCTGATGCAGTTTCTTTCATATTTATCTTCAGGAGCTTCTGGAAGTGGGAAGAGGGAATCTGGTTGTGTGACAGCAGCCCTCGGCAACACATGGAGTCACAGTGTCAACACCAGGCTCATACTACAATATCATGACTTGCCGATAAGACAGGTGAGAACTTAACAACGAAGAGAATTTAAATAAAGCTACATCAGCAATGCTCAGTCAGATGGGTTAACTGTGTCCTTCAGCCTCTGTGGTTATGCCCTGTGTGTTGAGAACCTGGCATTCTACAGCCAACTGCTTATTTGGTGTGGGGGGGCAGTCAGTGTCTTTTGCTTTTCACGGATGGCCATTCCTCCAGTGCCTCCCTGTGTTAGGATGGGCTTATCTGAGTCACAGGGCCTAGCGTTGGCCTGTTGGCACAGGCATACAAGTTCCTTGAGCTTTTGGTGCATTTCATGTTGTGGAGGTGAAGGGTAATCCTTAAAGTGCTTTCCTGCACAGGGATTTTGGGGCAGGAGTAGGAGGCTAGTCCTTTCACTGCTATGATTGTTTTGCTGTCATCCTTTCCACTCTTTGTGCCAAATTTCAGCTGTGACTGTTAGGACAGGGAGCGTTCTATCTTCTGCAGCTACTGTTTGCAAGTGGAAGCTTGCTGCCTGCACCAGCAAGCTTAACTTTGAGCAGTAAGTATGGTACCAATTTTCCAGAAGTATGACTGCAAAAAGGAGACTGCTTACCCTTTTCACTAAGAGATTTCATGCTTTTGAGTGAAATATAGTAGCATTTTTGACTGCAATCTTCACCTCTTAATTTAAAATAACCTGTGAAAAACTAGGAGGCAAGACATTTGGGGTTTGATTGAGGAAATAACTTTTTTTTTTGTTTTTAAAAACATCATAACCCATGATTTCATCTGTCCCATGGGATATCTGCAGTTATAATCTCTTTTGGCTTTGTCTGTTCTGTTTTTCATTGATGTAACTCCTTCCAAAGGCTGTGACCCTCAGTCTTAATGATATTGATTTTCTGCGCGTTAAAGTAGAGAGCTGTCAGAAAAATTGCTACGCAAAATTTGTACCATCTTATTCCTGTAGCATTACTACCCACATGCATTCAAGTTGGTGCTTCTGGTTTTACTGCCGCAAGACAAGGTTTCTTGCTTTGAGGTTGCAGTCTTTAGGGCCAGAGGAGAGGAACCCATCCTGTTTTATTCTGCTCATTACAAGTAAGATTATAATGATGGCACCTCTGTTCCTGCGAGTAGTGGGCACCATGAAGCAGCACTAGTCCTCTGGACTCTCAGGTAGCAGGTTAAGTGTGTCAAATGCAGTTAGAAAAGGCATCTACTGGACTTGCTTCTAAAGACCATGCACAGTTGTATAGAAACATACTCTTGCTGCTGCTTCTTCTAAAAGTTCTCTATGTTCTGCTTCTTACTCTGGTCTGTACTGAGTTCTCCTTTTCTACATGTGTATGTAAAATCCAAAGCTGTTCACAAATTTCCTGGATCGCTTTGGAGGTGGAGTTGGCAAAGGGAAAACAGCAGAAACAGTCCTCTGTGCTACTTCATGATGCACAAAGTCGGCTAAAAAGGATTAAGAACATTCCTCTGGTGGTGGAAAGAGGGAGCAGTTTTCCTAAAGAACATTCGGCTATTAAATGTAGTTTTTCCTGATTTTGTTTGAGAAGTAATAGATTGCAAGTGTATGAAATGTTGTTTTCAAGGCTTTAAAATTCCATTATAAAAAAATATATTATGATCTCCTTAAAAAAAAAAGCAGAATTTTCCTCTGTTGTTAGCTGGGTTTATCAGATGCACCACCTTGCTTGCATGTAAAGCCATGGGCTCATTGTGTTTTAGTTAAGCAGAAGAACTAAATCTACAGTGAGGAAAAACAACCATAGTCAAGTCATAGAAATCTTACATCCAGACATGCAGTTTCCAGTTAGAGGAAGGCATCTAGAATTACCCTACCTGTAGCACCACTCTATTGGTTAAATTACTATAGTTTTACACACATATGCTCTTTCATAATTGCTTTATACCCACTTTCAGGAATGAATTGTGAATAAAGGTGCCTCAGTTCTTGAGATGCCATTTCAGTCATCATAAGGTGGTTCTGCCAGGAGGTATTGGATATCAGAGCTTTGAAAATCAGCACTTTTTAAGGAAGCTTAACTTGGAGGTTCAAAAGTTCCCAAGTCAGTAATCACTTTTACAAATTCTCATATTACTATATTAAAAAAAAAAAAAAGAAGCCTGTGATTATCTGTGTAGTTTTAAAGTGAAATTCTGCCCCAGGAAGTCACTGAAAGCACACAGTTGTTCTGGAGATTTGGGTGAAAAGTAGTGCAAAAACAAGTTTTCCCTGCTTTTCACAATTTGTAACCCTGCAGAATCAATACTGTTCAAGGAATAACCTGTGTTTTGTTCTGACTTGCACAGCAGACACAATTTTTTCTTTCAAAAGCTAGAGTTCATTCTTTCTTCAGTCACTTGACCTCCTGAAGAAGCTTTTCCTGGCTCTACTTTCTCTCCTTCTTTCCCTGGAGGAGCTAGGGCAGTGGTGACAGTCTGAGGGATCTTCCCTTACATCCAGCTTCCATGGTAGTAAAGCCAGAGTGCTAATCCTTGCTGGGAAATCCTACCCATCAAGAGAGAAAGCACCTCTGGAGATGCACTGGGCTGTGAGACCTAAGAGTGGTATTCTTCAGAACGTGGAGTGATAACGTAATCGTCAAGGAGGATTCGAGCAAGCAGTTTTCCAGAACCATACTATCTTCTGGAGAGGACAGGCCACTGGGCTGCTAGATGCTTCTTCTTAGTCATGCAGTATTCGTTTCTGGGAAAGCTTGCGGACGTAGTCCCTGTTCCTGAAACTTTGGGGAATGCCAGGGCAGCAGATGGCAGAATGAGTACGCAACAAACCTAGGGAAATTAAGCATAGAATTCCTACATGGGAATTTTTTTTGTATATTAAGTAAAAGATTCCTTCATTTTGTTTGTCCAGCAGACATTTTTTCAGCCAACTATCCCTTTTTCCACCCCACCCTCCGTATGTCTGGTGAACATTAATAAGACAGCAGCCAATTCAGCAAAGTAATGAAATTTCTGGGACATCCTGCCTGCCTTGAAATCAATTAGGTTTGCTTTATTGCTTGGATAGGAACAGATTTCTGAACAAACAGATGAACTTTCCTCTTTTGCCCCCTTCTAGAAGGCCGTGTTCTGGTTTTGGTTTCCTTCAGGGCAGAAGTAACGCCACTGGCGGGGGCATGGGCAGGAGGAGGTTTCCAGTCTGCACTTAAATCCCTTACGCCACTAAAACCCACAAGCATGGACTACAGCGTAGGAGTCTGTTAACTGCTGAGGTGGTACTGAGCTACACGACTTCCACAGCGGCACGGTGGCGTAAGAGCTTGGGAGAACGTGGGAAAAGTTAATTGTTTCGCACAAATGGGTTCATAAAGGGCATTTGCTATTATCTTTGTGGACACTGATACTTGGTTCTCCCTAAGCACTCCTGTGAGTAGTTAACCATGACATTTGTTTTCCTGAAATCCATACATAAACATGCAGACCCTTTGAGTTTGGGCCAAAACCAACGGGGCTGCGCTAGAAACTGTCAGACTCCTCAGTTACCCCTATGTGTATAATTATCCTTCTTTCCTGAACTGGAGTTAGCAGGCTCCAAGGTTACTGTTTTCATGTGTGCTCAGCTGTCTCTGGGGGACAGCATGGCAGGGTTTAATACGTTGACATGCTATATTTAACGTTTTATTCTTGTCTGTTGGAGACAGGGTGCTGGATTAAGTGAGACACTGGCCAGATCTGATATGGCAACTTCAGTGGGCCTGGTTTAGTTTATAGTTTTCAAGGGATTTGTGAGACTCATATTATTGTGTTAGTGTCTGTAATGTGTTTTGAAATTCTCAGATGGAAAGTGCATGTAGAAGTGTTATTTTGTAACAAATCAGTGTTTTCCTATGGTATTTTCAAGAAAGAGCATTTCCGATTGAGATACCGGCTGGAGCTTTCAAGCCGTGCCAGGTGAGCTGTCCTGCAGCAATTTTCCTGCTTCAGGTGAAGTGTTTCAAATGCATAAGTATATGGTGACTCATTCTTAAAAAACAAAACAAAACAAAAACCCCTTCTCTCATTCAGACTAATGCCAGACATAACTTTTGTTGTGTCCTTGGTTACAGACCAGCTGTTTTGTCTTGCTCTGCTTACTATGCTATGAATAAGCCCTGAATAAGCATTCCAAAATTGCGATGGTGAAGTAACCATGGCACTTGCTGGTGTGGGGAAGGGCTGGGAGAGAGCCGAGGGGGGTGGGGATGAAGTTTTACATTTATGTGACTTGCTAAGGCCAACTGCTATGATTCTTTACCTTAAACTTGTTCTGATTTTAGTGAAGCAGTTCTTTCAAATTGTACAGATGTTTGGCTGTAACTCTACCAGTCATTGAGAAAATATATTAAAAATAGAAGTAATGTAACTTGTTGCAGTCATGATGGTTTCAGAGCATAAGTGAGATCAGATTTATCTTTCTCTGTAAAACACTGAAGGTAGTTGTTATTTGGACTCTGTAGCTGTTGGATAGCTGTTCCATTTTAAAGATAACACCAGGTGAGGTTTTCATCCATAAAAAAGGGAAGCAAATAAACCACAGAAAATAAAACAATTTCAAACAAAGCAAGAAGGCTGTGGAGAAGAAACATACACCAAGTACTGCTATCTGGGGTTAACACTTTCTAAATTTTGTGCTAATAATCTGGAGGATAGCAAATACAGTAATGAAGTTTGGAAATGGCATCCAGTTTTATGTGTCGAAACATAGTGGAAGATTGTCGCTCCATACTACAAAGGGTTCTAATTACTTTGGTGAGATGGTAATATTTTCTGGGGAGAAAGAAGAGGCAATGAAATATAATCAGACAGAACGTACTGAAATCACTCTTGAGACGAAAGGAATAAGATCTAATACAAATAAAATACAAACAGCATTGATGTGTTTTCTTTATTAACTTTGTAGCAGTTATAGCTACCTACTAAAGCAAATGGAGAAGAAGAAAATGCAACGAAAACCAGATATTTTTAATAGTCTTAAACCTAGTTTTGGCGTCAGATGAGGAGGATGGAGATGACCAATAGTGTTGAG